GTTTAAGGCTGATAGATTGAACTGATTGATTGATTGACTAAGAGCCATCACGCTCAAGGGGTGTGCTGTCCTGCATTATATTACTAATATTAATACCTTTTATGCAATAAATGTTCGTTAAGGTATTTCATTCCTCTTGAGAATTGAGTAAAATTCCAACGTAGCTTGATGTAGCAATTTACCTCGACAAAATGCCATCAAAGCATCTAAGTATCACAAGTACTTTAAAAGTAATGATTTTCTGGATGGAGTCATTTTGCAGTGCAGGAAGCCCTATTGCCTACGAGGGTAAGCTCACCGTTTCTCTCTTATGAAGACTGCTTCCCCCGATAAGTTGTCACACCTCCACCAATTTCTCGATATACATTAGAAAATTCACCTTCACATTTGTTGATCTCGGTCGCCGGTGTAGAGAACCTGACATCAGAAAAGATTTTTTGACCCTGCTGACAACATCAGCTTTATGACATGCCATCCGGAAATGTTGATGACTGTTGGGACACTGTTTAAAATGGCAGGGTGAAACATCGCAGGATGCAGGGTTCATTTGATGGGAAAGCGCTTTATTCAGATAGAGTGAGTTTGCAAAAAAGTGGACATCATTCAGATGCTCTCTACTGTCCAGGACTCTTCTGCTGGGACCAAGATTATGGAAGCAACGATGAAAAAGGGGCAACGTTGAACCGCATTCGTGCAGATTCCGAAATCGACCTACATTTCGATTACGGTCGGAAGAAACGCTTCACAGATGTATGAATTAAGAACAAAATTTGATGGCAAATGTCCAGTGTACGCGTTATTTCCATCAATGTAATTAAGTATGCTGCATCCCTGAGTGTGGTAGCCCGTAGTATACAGCCGCCAAAAGGAACACTTGTTAGGGGGAGAAGGGAGGGTTGCACACACTGTTTTCTTCTCGATTAGTGTTAGCAAGCCGATTGCCAAGGTCGGCAAGCAGATCAACAATAACCCGCTCAACAATCATATGAGAAAACCTATGTAGAAGTTAACGGCATCTCCAAAACACAGACGGTACATATACAACGGTGTTCAAGAGGAAAAATCTCATGCAGAAAGGGCATAGTGTATCTATTTGGAGCATGACATTTACTCAATCGCTTTTGTGGGCGAACGCGGTCGTGTCGTACAATCCCTTGTGTGATGATCCATTTGGCCAAAAATACTCGAAGATGGACAACCAGGGTAGCAATACTCCTAGAAGTGGTCCAGTAGGTCTCCGGTTGGTATCGCATCAAAGCAGATGTTGAAGAAAGTTTAACAGACCTAATCACTTACTGATGTAGAACCGCAAGAAGTAAAATCCATTGGAGTAGACACTAGACGAAGGAGGGGCTCCTAACCTCACTGAAGCCGTGAATATCAGCTGAGATCAGTGACACGAGAGAAAATTTTGACTCTCCTCTTTAAAGTTACTCAACGACGTTTTTACATGTTGTGAAAAGCCCAGGGACGCTAGAAGCACCTGGTAACGGTAACTTTGATGATTCAATCGATTTGCCGCATCAAAACGCAGTAGTGCCTTGAAAACATGGTGATCAGGTCTAAAGCAAGCATAAAACCAGATATAACACATGCTGATATGTACGTGTCACAACACAGTCTGTGATCATTCTAGGGACGTGCGAAACGCATAGGCATGAACTGGCAAATATGCCAAAGAACATTATGTAGATTTAGGTATTATGGGGAAGCTTCAATATTCTCCAAAATTGGCCCATACATCCTGTTATTTCAACAAGCATAGCAAATTTGATGAAAGCAGCACTTGAGCCAGCTTAGGCCATACCTTCACTATAACTTCTCGCGCGGCGACCGGCATCAGTGCTCTCAGAAGACAAAAATAGTTAACCAAACAAACAAATACGAGTTAATCACACACAAGTAGTTACCCATTTGTGGCTGGCCTAATGCCAGTGCTGTTTCCCAAACAGATAGCGCGGGTTCGATAGTTTTTCGGGTCCCAGGAGGGCCCTTAATAAATATAACACAGTTGTACAGTTCTGTCTGGCCCCACGGTATAGTGCTTTGATCTAGCAATATGAAACTGGAAATTCAAACGGGATTGAACATCAAACAGCAGATATGACAGAGGTGCGAACCGGCACTTCGTCTAGTGATACTGGTGCAAGTGTATGGTGAAAAGCTGTCAACCTTTACACTACTTCATATCTGATGGTCTCCCCCATTGATCTGGAATTAACACTATGAGCGCAAAATGAAACGTTAAGCTCCTGTGGTATTTCACAAGACATCTAACAGTATGTTTCAAGCATGTTTACGGATACAAAATTATACAGATTTAGTTCAGAAAAGACCTCACCGTCCCACAACATCACAAGATCAAGTGATAATAGTAAGAGTAAACACTGTCCGGCATAAGTCCCGTACATGAATGGTCCGAGAAGACGATAACTTGGGGTAGCTTCAGGGAACAATGCACACGTGATTCAATCTTGATGAGGACATTGCCAGTTGGGTCGTCCAAGTTAAAAAAAAACAGAACGGTTGTGGTATGTTCCCTTTCGTAGGTGACCGAAAAGTAGAACAAGTGCATTCACGATCACATAACCACGTTCCAAATATATGGCTTAAAAACCAAAGCCGATCAATCAGATATGAGCTTCGGTTCTACGAGGTCAACCTTCTCTGAACAGTTTAACGTATTCCGAATAGAACACATGCGTTTAATCGGCTGACCAGAATTATTGTCATATCAGGAGAGCTGAGTTCGAAACTGGAACATATTTGTTCGGGTGCGAAACAAACGTGGAACGGGAGGCGAGGGCGCTTCACCAAGGCGCACTCGTTCAGTTCGACATGATGAAACACAAGCCGCTGGTGACGTCCCGACTCGTTTCGCTAGGTTCCGGGCCTTTGTCAGAAAAAAGTAATTCTTTCCAGAGAGAGAAGATAGCGAAGGGGATTTTGTTCGTACGGGGATTCCCACCGAGTTGCGAGTGACGTGGAAAGCTGTGCTGAGGAATATAAGCAGCTCAGCTGCTTGGTTGTTCAACGGATTTAGTGAATGAATTAGATGTTTTCCGGTTGACGCCGCCTCGAGACTGGCTCTAGACTACCGGTATGCTTGAAATTGGAACTGAACCTTCTGGTAAGTACGTTCTGATCCGCCATCGTGAATTCCTGCTGGGGAGGTTTATGATCAATATTTTGTTGTTGTTGTTGCTGTTGTTGTTGTGCTCATTTGGCTTGGTTGAGTGGTTGATTTCTTTTCTTCACATATTGTACTTTGCGGAGTTCGAATCCCAATGTTCTGACGCATGTTTGTCGAGGATCCTGTCTTATCGTCGTAAGCACCAGTTCAATAATATTTCTGCCATTTTGTTTAGCAGGCCTCCATGTCTCAGGATGATTCAGTGGCGGTCAGAGGATGAGCTAAGTACAAGCATTCATAGAGGAAGCGAAGTTGCTGTCGAGTTGAAGATAGTCAACATGCGAAAGTCTCTAACCAACGGGCCGTCTTGAGCGTAGGATACGGAAAGGTGTTGGTAATATTGTGGAATATGGACAGCTTCGGTGCACAAATTGGTTGTTGTTCTATTCGCCGAGCTCGGCCAATGGATTGCATGCAATCTAATCGCTCAGTGGATTCTCGTCGGATCAGACGAAAAGCAAGCAGCAAATTGATTAACTCACTTACATCTCGATACATCCGACGCCTTTACAAATATGCTCATTTCTCCACAAGTTTACGGTTTTCATCTTGCTACTTTTCAAACAGTGGAGCGGGATCAAGCTCAGTTTTAGAAACACACGTTTGGTCGGGGCTTTCTCACTCGACAACGTACACACGTTCACACTCAACCTCACATTGTCACGATCTGATGCCTTGTCACGAGATGGGCTTAAGCGGAAAAGTGCTGTCAGACAGCAAAACTAGAAACCGCATGAAGACTTGGATCGGAATGATCGACAGAAAAGAAGTACCACGATTCAAGAAAATGTGTCTCACCAGAAGGCGTCATAGCGGGTTTTCACGCTAGGACGGAAATAAACGATTCTATATTCTGAAATGCAATACGTGCACAAACCTTAATGATTGTTTAGTTTAGTTACTTGGCAAAACTTTGTACCAAAGAAATGCGACCAAAACGACTAAATAGCGGTAACTTGAAAAGCAACAAATCACAGCAGTAATTTGGACGGATCAGTTAAAAACTTTACGACCTTCCAGAAGACTTCAAAAGCAGTTTACTAACTTATGGGATTAGTTAGTGATGCCGGTTGGAAATCTATGAGACACGCATTTAACCGTTTTCAACATTTGCTGTTACCATATCCCGAGCGCGTGAGTCAGGCTTTTCTGAAGAACTAACTCGTGGCTAACTGAAGCAAGTCCCAGGAGCAGACCTGCACTTTGTGGTCAAGGTTGCAGATTAGCTTACGTCTACGGCCTAGTGGTGCTCAGCTGAAGTGAGAAAAAGCGATGTTAGATCGGTCAGATTTTCCGTACTGGTATCTCTGACAATTTTGTGGTCAACAGTGCAATGACCATATATGTTTAATTAATACATTCGTGTTCCCCTGCAGTCACCGTCCCTACCAGTTCAACCCACACACATCCGGCTGTGTCTAACCAAAACTATCCCGCTCGGTTCGAAAATTACAGTCGTTCGACAAACTGTGTCGAATGCCGCAGCTTACTTGATGCCTGTAAGACGATAACCCCCGTTTATTACCCATTTGTTGAGGTCAGACTGACCATGGTGTGGTTATATTCTGTGTTAAGCGCTAAGTGCCAATTGTATCGTCGTTGCCAAAAGCTTCAAATGAATCTCTCGTTTTATATTTCTTAATTGAGTGTGCTGCACAAAGACCGTCTTATGTTTCAGTTGGCACGGTATTCGAGATACCGCAGTATATTGTCTTGATGAAACACTATACTTAGAGAGATTCATTTTATTGTCTCCATGACATCAACGTAGCTTGCAAATGAAATCAGTCATCGTTCACAAACGTACCCGAATCAACTCAGCACTATAGAGACTGCCGAGGACAAGTGACAGTCTGTGCCTTCGGTTGAACGGTTGCATTGCAGGAGAGATCGTAATAAAGCCGGGATTGAGGATAAGACCATAGGTAGTTTCCAGTTTACAAAGGATTTGTGCCAATCGAGTCAGGTACGTTTGTTGGCACTCGCGACGTTCGTGCTGCCACATGAAAGGCTTTGACGGACAATTGTAGAAGGAACCACTGGTAGACTGATCGAACGAATAGTGACGGGTGCGACGGTCCGTGGAATTGCCGGTTAGTATAGCCATTATTTGGTGTGGGGTTTTGAGGTACCTAGAAAAGAGCCACGGAGAATATGGGAGAGTGAGCCTATGAAACGACAGATAAAGAGACAAAACGGTGGGTTAAAAGCAGGGTGCTTTGCCCATCCGAGGGGGATTATCAATAGCATGTACTTTATTCAACTCGTAGTACTTGCTGCGCATCGTTAGACTGTGCACTTCTCGAAGAGTCTACGAAGACACTCATTGGCCACAAAAAAACTGGGCAAAACAAGGGGGAAGGTAGAAGAAAGTTTACGAAGGTAGTTCAAACACGTTGGGACGAGCCAGAAACCAGAGCTTCGAAATGTAGGCAATCAAGAAGACACCAAGGTAGACCGGTTCACATATAAGTGGTAACTTGGGTTGAGGGCTGGTAGTACTTGATGTACTTAATGTACACACTAACGGATGGCAAATAGACGGGACCTGGCGGGAAATTTATGGGTTGATTTATGCGATTTATGGTACTAAAGAATACTAGAAAAGGCGGTACTAAAACTTGATTACGTTCTGGAAAATGATTGGAATGATACAAAGAAATGCATTGCAAAGGTCGGACGGATCAGTCATTAATGAGCAGTACCAAGTCCTCGAACTAAAAAGCACAGGCGAAAGGGGCGTGATTGGCCCGGGGTCAAGGAAATTATTAGGATTTTGACTGGCAGTGGACTACGGGTGGAGCCCCATGATTGAAGAGAGCAAACTGGTGAGGGTTAGCGTACAGTGAACGAATACGACTGGACCTGACTGATCGACTGCCCGCAAATCAACATGCAATCAAAAGAAAGTTGCAGCCTGAGCTCAAAATGAGCCTGAAGAGAAACAGCGAAATGTATAGCACAGGGTGAATAGAATGAATAAAGGGGCCATTCTCGTCTGGTTATGGCATGGTGTTGGATTTTCATTCTTATTGCATCGGCTCAAAATCAGTACCATCACTGGAGCTCAGTTCAGCTGGCCCGATAAAAAGTTAGAGACAAAACCCACTTTCCTGTTGTGAAAACTGGAAAACTATGGGTTCCATACTCAAAACCATTTTTCCATCCATACTGAAAACAGATAACAGCGTATGACTGAACGGCCACGTCTAGATGGCGGAATAGTCTCGGATACCCAACTGCTTGATGAACAGAGGCTGCACGTAATTTATTTGCGTACAATTTGCTGAATGAAATTCAGTTCAATTAGTTTAGAACTAATGCAAATACCCTGAACATTTGAGTGTAACGGAATGCCAGTCTACAAAAAACACGCTTATCTATTCTTTCATTCAAACTCAAGAAAATTACAATTTATTCCATGTGATTTACAATCTGTATTTCATGAAAGTAAAGTGGATATTTTCATGAGTAGTTCGTGATAAAGCAACTTCAATTCGGAATATTTTTATATCACCTAAACCACTATAGGACCAGTCACTACTAGAACCACGAATTCATCCTATTCATCGTGAAAAGCTGTATCTCTCAACTCTGAGAATGAGGAGGCGGTAATTTCATCTTCACTAACTGAGATAATGACACTTGGGGAACTCCAGAGCAATAGCTAAGGCAAACAAAGCAGAGGCGGCATTGGTTAACCGCCTATACGTAGTCAAGTTCAGGTAACCAATCGATGTGGTTTGTCTCGTGGATGCGCCCAGAACCGGATATATATATATATATATATATATA